AAACACCATCCCTCACGGCACCCAGTCCATCATCCCTCACTGCATCATCTCTTGCTGCATCGCCCCTCACTTCACCCAGGCCATCATCCCTCACTGCATCCTCCCTCATTCCACCCAGGCCATTAGCACTCCTTGACTTCACAACACCGTGTAAGCCCTGGGAAGAACTAAATACCATCCAAGACAAATTGGTAAGTTAGATTTTAGTCTTTTTATTTAAAACAATAATAATAATAAAATGTAAACCATCAGAAAGCAAGAATATCCATAAACTGTATTCTTGTATGCATAAGCAACACACATGCTCAAAAGTCCTTTTTCAAATCTTGCTGTAGAAAACATACTGTTAAAATAAGTTTTACACCCATAATAATAATAATTATTTCCAGCTCAGCTATGTTCTGGATATGAGACTGCCTGGAGCAGAAATCATTATAAAAAATGGGTCCACACGTCTCACCCGTTAAGCCTTTTGGAGCTTGGGGCTGCAAAGAGACATGGATTCTGAGGTTAGTAGTGAGAAATTTGTTAAAATTAGGAGGGAGAAAGTCATGATTGCATTTTTTATGATTGATTTATATTTGCATTGGTTTTATTGATCTATTTATTTTTTGGTGTTTTTTGGCAGATTGGTAATGCCTGTTTCAGATTGATTTATGAAGCAGCTCAGCAGCATGTATGTAATATGTGCAATCATAATGCATATTTTACTGTATTCTTTCATATTATTGTCTATTTTAAATGGATTCTTTTTTTTTTTTTTTTTTAAATAGAGAAAAGACATATATGTAGAGAACATGTACGTAGTTCCTACATGGAAGCGTAAACCAAAAAATATGTCTAACAATTTTCCAGTGAGTATGCAGAAAATAATATATTTATGTCCCAAAAATGTAGATTTGTATAACAACAAGGCATTTCATTAATATCAGGAGGATGTTGATATGAAAGACTTGTTGGTGTTTCCAGCATGGACCAACTCAAATGGGCCAGAACACTTCTTTCTCTGTGTAAAGAATTGGGACTGTTACAAGATGCCAGATAGTAAATTTAGTAGTATTTATGTATCCTATATTCCAACAGAGTGAATTCCAGCTCTACTCTTTGTCCTAATGACTTTTAAATTTTGCTTATTTGTTGTTCAAATACCACATTATTGCTCATGAAGCCACACATGAGAGAGATCATCTTTTTAGACTCCCAGTATGCAATGCATGAGTCTGGATTTGGTAATGCTGAGTACAGAGTCATTTTGAGGTCCACAAATGAGGCATACAGTTTGATATGTTCATACAACAATTTACACTTTGCCTACGTTCCTATAGACTAAACTGATATATTGTGCCTACGTTCCTATAGGCTAAACTGATATATTGTGCCTACGTTCCTATAGGCTAAACTGATATATTGTGCCTACGTTCCTATAGGCTAAACTGATATATTGTGCCTAAGTTCCTATAGGCTAAACTGGTATATTGTGCCTACGTTCCTATAGGCTAAACTGATATAGTGTGCCTACGTTCCTATAGGCTAAACTGATATATTGTGCCTACGTTTCTATAGGCTGTACTGATATATTTTGCCTATGTTCCTATATGCTGTACTGATATATTGTGCCTACGTTCCTGTAGGCTGTACTGATATTCTCAGTCCCCGTTCTTATCCCTTTTTTTTCTTTTTTTATAGAAATCTTGCACAACAAATTAATCCTGGAAAGTGGACTGAGAAGACTGGGCATGATGTTGCCGTGACTAAACATATGGCTATTTCAAAAAAATATTACTACAAGAGATAGACAGTGGCTTTCATCTGAATCTTTTTTTTTTTTACTTTTAGGGCTTGCCACGCCAGAGCTGTGGTAATGACTGTGGGGTTTTTATGCTTATGGTGAGGTCTAAGGTTTTTAACTAAGTATAAACAAGCCTTTGTCAACCCTGTGAATAAAAGCTTTTGCATCTTTTTTATTGCAGTATACCCTTTGTTCTGTGACCGGTGTGGCAATTACACCCCGGGGGTGTCCAAACGGTCCTGGAGGTCGGGTGTCCTACAGATTATAGCTCCAACTTGCCTCAACACACCTGTAAAGATGTTTCTAGAAAGCCTAGTAAGAGTTTGATTAGCTAGCCCAGGCGAGTTTGGACACTTCTGATTTACAGAAAATGTTAGAAGAAATTTCTCACTTTAAATTTCGCTTCTTGAATCTTGAATAAAATGGATACATCATGAATTAAAGATTTTCCCCATCACTTTGACGCATCTTTCAGATAGACATGCCTTTAATTCTAAAGTGGTGGTGTCTTCTTCTGATGGAACGCTTCAAAATAGAAGCGTATGGCACCTCTGTAACACTTGAAAATTTTCATGTGCTGTTTTCCATTTTATGTTTATATATATATATATAGTATGTGTTTGCTGGATAATGTATAATAAAGTATAATGTCTATCGTCCTCATAAGATAAATAGGAAATATTTGCAATAGTTGTTTCATGCTATATGAAGCTGTAAGGTAATGTAGTGTAGGGAAAAGCTATGCAGTATTTTAGATCAATCTTGTTATTTTTCAAAGATATGGTCAGCGGTTTGCCTTCTGGACTGATGAGGCCAGAAACTTGCTCTAAGGAAAACTTCAGCCAATGTACAGGGTGCCAAAAAAGTGTGCTATGAGGAAATCCCACTTCACATTCAGGCTGTTGAAGTCCGCACAACAGAGGAAAAAAGAAAATTGGAAAGGAAAATTGACGACTTTATTGTAAAGTTAAAGGGGTCTGAGGAGCATTTGGTGGTACTTTAACAATCTTCACATTTATCCATCTTTGTCTCTAGTGTAATACATTTCTTTAAATAATTGTTTTATACCATCGTTTGCCCATAGGGTGTTCTCAAAGGGAAGCCCTCTAAGCGGTTGCATAAGCAAGCATCTTTCCAGGTGCCTGTCTACATAGACAGTGAGGAAGAGCAAGATAACCTTTTTGGTTATCTTAAAGACGTACTAAACAGGACACCAACAAAACTCAGGTTTACAGATGAGGTGCAGCTTATCTGTGATGTTCTTTTTCCAGAGGTATGCAAGACCAAATAATGTACTTACAAAAATCTACTGTATATAAATTGCATGCTGGGTGTTACTCATTTATCGACCCATGTATAATGATATTTGCTGTTCAGTGGTGGTATATTAGTTCATTTAAATGATTTTTTTTTTTTATAGGCCATCATATATGCTCTGGGGGTCTTGAGGGGTTTGTCTTCAGATGATGCTGAGCAGGTCTACCCTTCTGGCACAAAATATCATTACAGGTCAGAATATGCTTTATTTTGGCACAATGCGTAGGGAACCTTTTTGTTACTGATATTTACGTTAACCCATTAGTACTTGTTCTCTATTTCAGTGAAGTAGAAGAATTTAATCAAAAAATTGACAAACAACTGAGGAAAGAAGGGAGACCATTCAATAGGTGGGTATTGCTCTTATATACTTAAAGATGTGCAGTTAACAGTTAGGTGTCCTTTTTGGTTCTTCCAAGTTTAAACCAGAAATATATATTACAGTTAAACATGGTAAAATATATATTTTTTATTACTTATAATAAATATTAATCTAAATTTAATTGCATAACAAATGGTTAAACTTTTGAATTCATGTACATGATTTTCTAGATTATATATATATATATATATATATATATATATATATATATATATATATATATATATATATATATATATATAAAATCTAGAAAATCATGTATATGAATTAAAAAGTTTAACCATATATATATCTCCCTCTCTCATTCAAAGGGGCTAAAGGAATGCTGCTTATTGGGCTGTTGTGGCTGTTGTGTGTGGATGATTAAATAAATGTACATTCTTAAATATTCTTTTATCTTTTATATTCTTTAATCCAAGGGGATTCATCAATATACAATATTTTTCAAGAAATGTAAGTCTTTTAAGGCACTCAACCTTTTCATTTGTGTAAAGTTAAGAAACATTTTTAATTTCTATTTTATCTGTAAATTAATTTGTTTTAATTTAAAATTGTTACTCAAAGCAGGTGTTTCACACTTTAACTTCTGGTATGTTTTACATCAAAAAGCACAATTGAAAAAAAAAAGTTCCTGTAAGTCTCCGCTATATCATCCAATCAGGTAGGTGGCGCTGGGAATCCAGTCCATAAACTGAAGTTTTTGCTGTATAATCAAATTCGGTAGGTGGCGTTGTTACAAAAATATGGTTCTAGAAATGCAGTTCATAGTGTCACCCAATCCAGTAGGTGGCGATGTCACAAAAAACTAGGGTCCCAAAGATGCGGTCCTAAAAATGCGGTCCTGAAAGTGCAGCTTCTCCAGTTGTGCAGGATCATACTATTGATCCTGGTAGCTAATACAACAGTGGTAACCTCTGGCTGACTGCCGGATTGGATCACCATGCGCCCTCTGATAGATTACTTTAGTATTGTTTTTTTTTTTCTTTATTTTTGCCTTAACTATTCATTCATCATTCATTAATTTTCTTGTCGGCTTAGTCCCTTTATTAATCCGGGGTCGCCACAGCGGAATGAACCGCCAACTTATCCAGCAAGTTTTACGCAGCAGATGCCCTTCCAGCCGCAACCCATCTCTGGGAAACATCCACACACACATACACAGTCATACACTAGGGACAATTTAGTCTACCCAATTCACCTGTACCACATATCTTTGGACTGTGGGGGAAACCGGAGCACCCGGAAGAAACCCACGTGAACGCAAGGAGAACATGCAAACTCCACACAGAAACGCCAACTGAGCCGAGGTTCGAACCACTGACCCAGCGATCTTCTTGTAAAACAGCCATGAATCGCTGTCATAAATCTAATCGAGATAAGTAAAGTACCTGAATCCATTGTTTTTTGAGGGATGTTTAAATCAAACAGTAAAACTCACAAACCAAAATGAGCATTACAATTTAAATTTAAAAATTTTTTTTAAATTGCAAATATAAAAATTATTTTTGCACTACTTGATTTTTATTTGCAGTTCTTTCTCTTTGTTTGCAGAATTCCTTTTTATTTCTCTTTTTTTATTTTTTAAAAAGAATTTAATCATTTTGCAATTTTTTGTTCAATAATTTATTTTTGTTTGCAAAACTTTGTTTTATGATGCAAGTATATATGGCCCTAGATGGACTCCATACCTAATGGATCTGTAGCGTCATTTACTTGTATCCTGTCACTTTGCTGCTGTCAATCAATTTGGTGGGCGGTGGGGCCACTCTCCTACGTAAAGTCGGTCTGAAAACCGCTCTTATGTTGTTTTTATGTTGTTAAATTGAAAAAAAAAAGGACTGGGTGTGTTTATATCACCCCAATATGATGGTTTATACACTATATACACATATGTTTGTCCAAATAGCTTGAAAAGTAGATTTTTCATCACCCTTTAAAGAAGTCACTGTCATCTGATTAATCTCGCAGCCAAAGTCTAATCGGTCATTGTGTTTCACTAACACAGTTTTACAGATGAACGAGGATCAACAGTAAAACCAGGGTAGAGCGGCTGGGTAAATGTGGTCTTGACTGTGTGGATGAGGCTTATTGTGTTAGAGATGCCGTAGAAGGACAGAATTCCTGCACTCTCATCCACATACACTCCTATCATACGGCTAATGGGCTTTACAGAGAGATCGGTCCGTTTACTATTGTGCCAAAATGAGTATCTGGTTGGAAAACAGGCTAAACTCCAGGACTTATCATTACCTCCAAATGCACACTCGTTCCCAAATCCCTTCCTACTGATGCTTTTGTAAGATACTGATAATATCACACCAACATCGCCACTCCATTCTATCTCCCAGTAACAGCGTCCACGCACACTCTCTCTGCACAACACCTGAGGCCAACCATTAAATTTGTCTGGATGATCAAAAGTTGGCTGTGCTGTTTCAGCACCAGTAATCACTCTGTTGCTCTCAGACAGACGGAGATGATCGTTCATTGTGTTCAGATCCAGAGTGAACTGATGGGAATCTGATGGAGAAAAAAACACATCAAAATCAGCAATGATAAATCTTTGCTCTTTTAATTCTCTGTATTGTTAATTAAGAAATATTGAAACATATGTATTAAATAGAAAATAAAAAACATAGAAAAAAATTAATTGTGTCCATAACAGACATCCCAAGTTGGGAAAAGCCATTTCTGGGTGGGGCATCGATAATTTGCGGGGGTTTGAGAAGCAACCTATTTGAAGACCGAGGTGGGGGGTAAAAGGGTTGCGCTTGACTTATCTGAAGAGCAGGGAGGGATGCATTAAAGAGGGGTGCACGATGTATTTGAGGTCCAGTGGGGAGATTTCCGAGAGATTATCATTGGTTTGCTGGCATCCAGGAGTCCCTATGCATATTTGGGAGACTCCCGGAACTTCTGCCAAAAGTGTCTGGATGCAATTGATTATCCAATCTGAAAATGTCAGAGTCATTCCAGGCATTCGGTAATATTTCAACTTGAGCAAACTCATTTTTTAAAAATGTAATGATTATATTTTTAAAGAGCCTACATAAGTAGCTACATAATCTATTGAAACTTTCAAATGATTTCATTTTCTTGTCGGCTTAGTCCCTTTATTAATCCGGGGTCGCCACAGCAGAATGAACCGCCAACTTATCCAGCAAGTTTTTACGCAGCGGATGCCCTTCCAGCCGCAACCCATCTCTGGGAAACATCCACACACACATTCACACACGCACTCATACACTACGGAAAATTTAGCCTACCCAATTTACCTGTACCACATGTCTTTGGACTTTGGGGGAAACCGGAGCACCCGGAGGAAACCCACGTGAAGGCAGGGGGAACATGCAAACTCCACACAGAAATGCCAACTGAGCCGAGGTTCAAACCACCAACCCAGCAACCTTCTTGCTGTGAGGCAACAGCACTTCCTACTGCGCCACTGCCTTGCCCCTTTCAAATCACTGAAACTTTCAAACTATTGAAGCTTTCAAATAATCATACAATTATAACATTTATAACTTTCAAAATTATATTTTCCCACAAGGCAACAAAGCCTGTATATTATTTTCTGTTTTATTCTTATTTGGATAAATTTTATTCTCAACCTCTGAACAGACAAAACTGAGCTGTTAGTAATAGTATTTTACAAGGCTTTTGCTATAAAACCAACATTTACCTTTTGCTCATGTGTCCCTTAGATCAGTTTAATGGCTGAAATATAACTTTTTTTTTCTTTGATAAGAGTTTTAAATTTTTATGTGATTTAAGTTACAATTATAAAAATTTTGCATTCTGTGGAATTATAATTTAAAAAAAGTTTTAAAATTAGATGTCTTACCAAAACCACATTTTTTCAAAACTAATAATGTAAAATAATACATTATTATGATAATAATGTAGACTATGCGTCCATTTCATTTGTTATTTCGTGATGTCTGAAAAATAGACATCATGGGGTCCAAAAAATGGGGGGAAAACGATAGTAATTTATAATAAACATGTTTTTGAACAAGACAGTAAAGTTTATAATGTGTAGTATAGTAAACTGTAATAAATGCTGTAACATTAGTGTAAGCTGTGGTGGATTGGGATGTATAATTTTAGCATAGAAAACTAAAGCCTATTGGCTAATTTGTTTATTACTACAGTTGTGTTGTACCACAGCAACAATATAATCACTATGGCAGTTAATTCAAGTAATTATCTAGTATGCTTCTAAACACTACTATTTAATATGGTATTTTTTCATGTAACGTAATAGCTTATACAGTCTCTACCACCTCGACAGGCAAATATATATTTAGCTCAGTAGAAAACTTGGCCCTTTTCATGATATGAGGATCATGCCCAACATATGTGGTTATTCTCGATGTATATCTCCTTTGAAATATGCTATAAATGACAAAAATACAGATTTTCTTCTATGTCCCATTCAGTTTTTTACTTCTTGGCCGCCATCTGGATTTTGTGTATCACCAGAACCACTTGATTGAAAACAACCTATTGGTTCTTGGTTTGACGCTGATTCTAGCAGAGTTAAACTGCTGGGAAAAATTTGAAACTTCTGACTCTGCCAGAATTTCATTGGAGGGAAAATTCTTTTGCAATGGCCTTTAATCTGCTATCTGTGAACATGTCAAATCAATGATCAAAGTCTTCAGATTTTACCCTAGGATTATAGAAATCTTCTAAAATTTCCTAAATTTGTCTGAGGAGACCAAATCATGGCTGAAAGCATACATCTGAAGCTGGGATTTAGTCACTTACATTGTAGGAAGTCGTTCCTGGTCTTGGGACTAGTTTTTGTCACTGGGAAAATCAAAAAACATAATTGGTGTATTGGTGTAAGTGTCATGCATGTTTCTAATATGATGTTACACGATATGAGTTGATAAAGACCTCATTTCTGAGAGCAGATGAATCTCCGGGACTTTACTGTACCTCTGTCTGAGATCTTCTTGAGCTCCTTTTTGCAAAAGTCCTCCAGTTTGTCTTTCAACTGAGAAACAGATTCGCTCAGGCCATCGAAACACAAGAGAGAACTGGATAAAACATCTGTAGATTCAGGAGGAGCTGAGAAAGACTGGAAACTCTGCAGAAAACACAAATCAACAATCATCACCTCCACTTTACACAATAAACAAATCCTGAAAGAAAACAACTGCTGATTATTTTCCACTGAATTGTTTATCTGTGCATCACTTGCTCAACTTCATTCTGATTTGCTTCTTCCTGATTTGTTACCTTCAGAAACTGGACATGATCTTTTTTGTGTGAAAGTTGCTCCAGCTCAGCGTTTCTCCTTCTCAGATTTTCAACCTCCTGCTCCAGCCACTCCATGTGTCCTTCAGCTCGACTCACTGCAGTCTTTTCTTGATCTCTGATAATCTGTGTGAGCTCAGAACATCTTTTCTCAATGGAGCAAATGAGCTCAGTAAAGATCCTTTCAGTGTCTTTCACTGCTGTCTGTGCAGAGCGCTGTTAAACACATCACGATCACACAGCCTGTGAGTTACAGTGAGACTCAAAGATTTCCAACACTAGAGGACAGTCAAACTGAGGCAAACTTCTCCTGTTCTCCTGACTTACCTTATGAGATTCCACTGCCTCCCTCAACTGCTGAAGTTCTTGCTGTCTCTGCTGGAGACTCTCCTGGAGCTTTACCTGTGTCTCCTTCAGCTCTTTCTGGAGGACAAACAGATAACAGCAAACAACTCTCTTACAAAACCAGTGAAGAGCGGAAATTCATAGTTTCTTGAAATTAGATTATGATTAAATATGAAGCTGAAGTGTCACCGTTATTAATGCAGTGTCTAGTTTATAATTAGAATTCACCCTATAATTTAAACTGGGACTCATGCTTTTTAAATCTATGTTTTCCTCAAGATATTTTGAAGGTATGCCTCAGCTAATTACAGAGCTCAGATTAAATATGTTGACACAACAATAACCTTAAATCTCATTGGATGCTTGTGTCAGTCAAATTACTAAACATGACATCAAACATGGTGTTTTTGGTTGGTCTCTTTATATAAGATCAATGATCAGTGGGTTTGATTAGTAGATTTTTAAGAATAGAACATTTTATGCCATAATTATATTACACAATCATTATATGTTATTTTACATTAATTATTTGTTAAATCGGGTGTTGCCTTGATGCAGTGGGTAGCGCGATCACCTTACAACAAGAAGGTTGCTGCTTCGAGTCTCAGCTGGATCAGTTGGCATTTCTGTGTGGAGTTTGCATGTTCTCCCTGTGTTTCATGTGGGTTTTCTCCAGGTGCTCTGGTTTCCCACACAAGTCCAAAGACATGCACTATAGTTCATTTGGGTAGTGATATGTGCAAATGTGTGAATGAGTGTGCATGGATGTTTTCCAGTGATGGGTTGCAGCTGGAAGGGCATCCGCTGCGTAAAACATATGCTGGATAAGTGGGCGGTTCATTCCGCTGTGGCGACCTCAGAATAATAAAGAGACTAGGCCGAAAAGAAAATGGATAAATATAAATAATATGTTAAATCAACTTAATTATGTAGTCACTGACATGATCTTACCCAGCTGGTTGTTATTTACAATTTTTCCATGGCTCTGAAAAGATGTACCTAATTATACAACCCAGGCTTATCCTGAAAACGTACGGCTATATACATTTCTGGAGACTGCCAAATGCCGGAAGCTACTTTTTTTTTTTTTTTTTGCAGTTTTTGTTTTCGTCAATCCACTAGAAGCCGCTGTGTATGCTTTGAGATCTCAAATTTACACATGTATCTGTCTGCAGTCTGCAAGACAGGGGCGTAAGATGAAGGGGTGTAACTTGTAGTACGTTAGAGAGGCGTAACTTGCAGTTATCGAGATCCCATTGAACCATGCGAGAGGTCACAATGAGATTTTGTTGGTAAGCTGGCGGAAAAACTTACCAAAGAACATTTTCATCGAATGTTTTCATGAGTTTTCTCCACATTTATCCACAAACAGTTCATTTGATTTATTATTATATTCATTCATTTAACAACACCATGCAACTCTAGTCCATGACTTCTTCATCTGTTTTGTCATGACAGTTTGCCTACTCAGCATCGCCCTCTGTGGTTGCAAATAACAGTACAATAGCGAGCATGTTAAGTATGAAAGCCTCCGCAACTCTCAGCTGTACGTTAAAAATTGTGATAGTTGGGTTAGGGGTTGGGGTAGGTTTATACATTAATAACTATGATGAATGGGTTTAGGTTTGGGGTAGGTGTAGATGTTAATAATGAGGATGGTTGGGTTTAGAGTTGTGGAGTAGACATTAAAAACTGATGTACAGCGCCATCTTGCCAACAACATAGTTTTGACATGTCTCCATAACTTCAAATTATGCCTCTAATATACTATACTACAAGTTACGCCCCTAAGGTCTCTTCATGTTACACCCCTGTCTTGCAGTCCATAGACAGACCCAACTTTAAATTTCTCTTGCGAGTGCCGTTCGCACCTGCTGTTCTCGTGTAAACCCACCAGAGGCCGCTGTTGAATAAATGACGGATTGACTGACTGATAGACTGACCCACCCTCCTCCTTCCCAAAACCCAACCAATTGTATTGATTGACCAGCCCACCCACTTCCCTAATCCCAACCAACAATTTTCAGGAGCAGTACAGAAAAAGAAAAACCCTTGTTTGATTTTTTCCACGTTTTCAGATTTTACCACATCCTCAACCTGCTGTTTACTTGTTTATTTTATTGGATTCCGTTTTTGTCTTACTTTCTGGAATCGTTCTTCACTGGACTAAACCCCATCTTCGTGGTTAACTCCTCTCTGTGTCTCAAGTCCGCTGACATACATGGGGAGCTATTCGAAAACATACGAAAAGCCGTCCATACGGAGGGAAGCGGTCAGCTGGTAATCGTGAAAAGGAATGGCGTCATACCACCCCATATCATTCATTTAAAAGTGAAATTCAGCCATATGTAGCTCTGGCTACAAAAATCTCCAGAAACGTATGATGGACTACGTTTTTAGAATGAGCCTATGTTGCAACTATATGTAAATATAAAAAATTATACTATTATATGACTTGGCTACCTGCCATAAGAATGCAGATCAGCCTTGATAATTAAAATGTACATTGGTTCAAAGCATAAAACAGCAACTCTGACGTTATAGTTGTTATAATTACCTGTTTCTCTTTCCTTTGTTCTGCAACTGATAGTGTTTCGTGAGTTGTATGTTCAAACTCCTTACACAGCTCACAGATGCACTGTTGGTCAGTGATACAGTAGATTTCTAGCTCTTTCTTATGTTTCTGGCAGATCATGTCCTGCAGTTGTCCAGTTGCATCAATCACTTTGTGTGATTTACGAAAGTGAAACTCTTCATGGTTCTCAAAATGAGTTTGACAGTAAGATTCCTGACACTGCAGACAGGACTTGATGGCTTTGTATTTTGTTCCAGTGCAGACATCACACTGCACATCTCCAGCTCCCGCTTTGCAGTCAGCAGGAGGTTTAGTCTTCTTTAGCTTCTCCACCACTTCAGCCAGCATGGTGTTTTTAGCTAAAGCAGGTCTTTGACTGAAGGTCTGTCTGCACTGAGGGCAGCTGTAGACTCTCTTCTCATCCTCCTGATCCCAGAAGCCGCTAATACAGCCCTTACAATAATTGTGTCCACAGTGGAGGCTCACAGGATCCTTCAGAAGTTCCAGACAGACTGGACACAAGAACTCATCCTGAGAAAATCTTGCTTCTGCCATTTTATTGTATGAATGTAGAGAGACACAAAAACAGCAGCTTCTCAATCAAATGTTTCTTTTTCCTGCTTCAGTGTTTGAGTCACGTGGGTAAAACAGGTGTGTCTGTAAAACAGGTTCCTCAATCCTGGTCAACAGCCACTTTCTATGTGCCCCTAACATGGACGCAAATGAATGACAGAAATCATAAACACATATATGAGTAATTTGTAAGGTATAATTTTGCAGCATTTGGATAACCTTGAACTCCAAGTCAAGTTGTGTAAAAAAAAAAATCTGATCTGTTTTTAAAATAAAAAGTAAAAAAAAAAAGTGTTAATATTATTTCATATACTTGAGCTAATTTTAATAATGGGAGCATTACATTACATTTTGACATTTTATCTAAAACCTGTACTAGTATCTATTTTCATGTTACCAATGCTTATTTTTTAGATACTAGTATCTTTTCTATTACGTACTAGTGCTTTTTCATTAGATACTAGTGCCTAATCTTTGGATACTAGAGTTTTTTTTTTAAATATACTAGTGCATATACTATTCATTATATACTAGCAGTACTTAATTTGTAAATTGCGAGGTCCCGGAACAGATCTGGCTTACGGATCTGTCATGTTACCAGAGGAGAGAGAGGTGTCACAGACGAAAGTGAAGAGCGGGGTGGGGGTGGGAAGGGGTGCGTGTAAGGAGGGGGATCGGTAAAATGAGATGCAGGATCAGCTTGTTCCGGCCCATATTAAACCCTGGATACTAGCGCTTATTCATTAGTAACTAGTACTTATTAAATAGATACTAGCTATTATTTATTAGATACTAGTACTTATTTTAATAATGACTAGTAACTATTCTGTTGTTACTAGAAACAAATTTAAAGTGTTTCCATTGATTTCAGTGGGATAGTACTTAATGAATACATACTATTTTCCAATACATAAGTACTAGTATCTAGGTACTAATATCTAAATATTAGATACCAGTACCTAGGGATGTGACAAGATCTCATATGACTAGTGAGATTAAATCACAACGGGATTTCTCCTCAAAGTGAAAAGTTGTCGAGCGAGTTGTGATGTTATGATGGAGGGTAAGGGTGAAAATAGCATTAAAGATTTGAGGCAGAATTGGATCTGATCTACAAATCAAGTGCTTTGCACACACCTGGCAACCCAGGCTGACCTCAGAGTTGCGCTTGTCACTCGGTTGGGCGGGCGGGTCTGATTTAACTGCCTTTTTTCACCGGAGTTTAGCGGGTGCCGGGTCCAACATAGGCTACAACTGCAACCACACACATTATGGTTCGTATCCATGCAATAGCACTTCAGATAAACTGAAAGTCATACTCTTTGTAAACACAAATGGAGTTTAATTATGTGAAAAAATCCTATTTTAGGGTGCTTTCACACCTAGATTTTTATTTTGGAACCTGTCTTGTTTGCCCAGTTAGCACGGTTCATTTAGCATATGTGAAACCAGCAATCGCTCTTGGATTTGCGGCAAATAAATCGGCCCGAGATCGCCTAAATAAGTTGGTCTCAGCTTGATTGAAACCAATTCTGGATCGGATTGATTGTAGTGAGAAAGCAAAATGTTCCGAGCTTGGCAATATCACCCTGTATTGTGGATAAGTAACAGGCATATCAATATCACCCTGTATTGTGGATAAGTAACAGGCATATATATGCCTATATCAAGAGAGAAATGTTGAGTTGGGCAGGATGTCAATCCAACCCGTAAATGTGTATTTTATGATAAATACAAAAGTAAAAGCAAGCTGACCTATAAATGAGAGCTGTTTATGCGTTAGGAACATTGATCGAAATACAGTCTAGGACTCTGTATGAGAAAGTCTTACCTCTGATTTATATTTGGTGATGATGTCTGTGGGTGTCACTATTCAAAATTAAAGTGCAGCTTTCTGCTTATAGTGTTTTATTGCTCATCATAATAAAATAAAACAAGGACGCATGACAGCTGAGCGAGACAGCAAAATAAACCGTGAAACTCTGACCAATGGAAGGGCAGTTAACTTACATGTGACTTGTTTTAGCTCTTTTGGTCCCTTTAGAAACGTTGCCGTGTGAAAGCAAACTGCATCAAGAACAAGGAGCAACACTGTAACAATTTTAGTCCTTGTTTCGGAACAAATGAATCGATTCGCTGGTGTGAAAGCATCCTTAGTCACAGATATGTAAATGCCATAATCAAACTATTAACACCTTGAAGGACTTTTAGCCACATTTTGCGACAGGACATACACACACAGCTGATTGACACTTCACACCACAGACATACACATCTCTAAACATGCTCAAACAAACACACACACTTATCATCATGGAACACACATTTATACTGTCCGGGAAAAGCTGAATTTTTCATTAACGTGCTGTATTAAACTATAGTAAAACAACTCTCTCCTTTCATTTCCAACTTCATATTCATATGATCACTTCCAGTAACTCAGAGTAAGTCACAAGGGGTAAATGAAGTCTTGCTGAATACAAATAAAAACTGTAAAACTGATTGATTCAATTAAAAATTAAATACCAAAAATTATGTGAATTTTTTAAGTTCAGTGTGTGGAAAAAAAGTTCAATTTATCATGTGAAGTTGTATAGAGAAGCCAGTCAGTAGAGTTTAGAGCTAAATATTTAGCAGTTTTTGCATGTCCTTTACAGCATAGAATTCATTTAAATAGAAAGAAAATACCATTCATTACATTATTGTTAAAAAGCACCTAAATTGTATTGTATTTTGTGATTTTTTTTCTAGTTCAATAAAAATCTATCTTTCATTCATATATTAGCAAATATGTTGCTAAAATTTAAAATTATATATAAAAAGATTGTTTCCATTCAAATAAGCTATTAGCAAAATATTTAGCAGTGTTTGCATGTCCATTACTGCGTATAATTCATAAAAATAGAAGTAAAATAACATTAAATACAAGTTAATTTAGAAAAGCACCTAAATAAATTTCAATATATATATTTTTTTAAATTTCTTAAAAATAGAGAAAAAATCTCATCTTGTCTTGTTCTAATGAACCCAATCTCGGGTCTCGTCTCGTGGAGTAGGTGTAAGATTAACTACTAGTACATAAAAATACAACAGAATAGTTACTAGTCACTATTAAAATAAGTACTAATATTCAATAAATAAGAACTAGTATCAATTTAATAAGTACTAATATCTAATGAATAAGTGCTAGTATCTAAAAGATAAATATTAGTGTCACGTTAGGGTGATTAAAACAGGAACAAAAACGGGTGAAGAATCCAAGTGCAGATTTTTTTATGTGAGGGTGCAGCAACAGTGACAAATCCAAAAATCAAAGTAACAAAATAAACAAACAAACTAGGAGCTCAAACAGACTAAACTAGAACTAGACTTTAGCCCAAGAACAGGATATAAACTGGAATCAGGAAACATACCAACAGTAACGACAACGACCAACTAACAAACAGAGGTTGAATGGTTAATTATATAGTCCAGGTAATCAACGGGGATTGGAGACAGCTGTGGTTGTAAATCAGTGTAGATGACAGACCGGGTGTGTGCGCGAAAGAATGTATGGAAATATAGTCTTTTTGGGCGCTGCAGTTCCACTCAGTGTCCATTGAACTACAGTGCCCTCAGGTGGTCACTGACAGTCATGACATTTCCCCTCACTAAAGAGCGGCTACCAGATGCTCCCAGAACAGTCCTGGGGGGTGGGGCGGCAGTGGAGCAGGAACAAGGGGAGGGATGGTAGGGTCAGACCAGGGTAGGTCCGTGGGTCAGGCGCCCCAGCAGGAAGCAAGGGTGCAGCCGGGGAAATCCGTCCCAAACAGTGGGAAGGACTACCAGAGAGGGGCGGGAGGGATGACCCATGGATGATTCCGCAGAAGACACAAGGCAGGGGGTTTTAGGAGAGTAGCTGGAGAGGCAGCTGGACTGGAGCCGGCTGGACTGGAGCCGGCGGGACTGGAGCCGGCGGGACTGGAGCCGGCAAGACTGGAGCCAGCTGGACTGGAGCCGGCTGGACTAGAGCCGGCAGGACAGGAGGCAGCTGGACTGAAGTCGACAGAGCAAAGAGGACTGGGGTCGGCAGAGCAAGGAGCCTGGCTGGAGTCGGCAGAGCAAGTAGCCGGGCTAGAGCCGGCAGAGCAAGTAGCCGGGCTGGGGTCGGCAGAGCAAGAAGCCGGGCTGGGGTCGGCAGAGCAAGGAGCCGGGCTGGGGTCGGCAGAGCAAGGAGCCGGGCTAGGGTCGGCAGGGCAAGACGTCTGGGAGGTGCCGGCAAAGCAAGACGTCTGGATGGCGTTGGTAATGCCAGAAGCCGGGCAGGGACCGGCAGGGAGAGGAGCCTGGGTGGTGCCGGCAGGGCAAGGAGCCTGGGAGGTGCCGGCAGGGCAAGACGTCTGGATGGCGTTGGTAATGCCAGGAGCCTGGGTGGCGCCGGCAGGGCGAGGAGCCTGGGTGGCGCCGGCAGGGCAAGGAGCCAGACTGGGACCAGCACTGTACTGCGCTCTGGGGTTGGAGGCGACACTGGCGGGCGCTCTGAGGCTGGAGCCGACACTGGCGGGTGCTCTGGAGCTGGAGCGACACTGGCGGGCGCTCTGGGGCATGAGCAGTCCTCTTCCTACGCCTCCTCCATCTGGTGGCTTGAGAAGGAGGAAAAGCAGTGTCGTCAGGAGAGGAAGCTTGCTCTGGAGCTGGAGCCGACACTGGCGGGCATTGTGGAACTGGAGCAGACACTGGGGTTTCACACAGCTCCAGAAGACTCTCCAGAGGATCAAAGAAGGGTGGTCTTCGGACAGGCTGACGCGGATAAGTCCGCAACTCCAATCCAGCCTCTCTTCTCCTTCCCTTGGATAAATCTGCTGGCCCCGAAAATATCCCTCTCTGTTGCTCACCACTCAGGCCTCCCTCCTGAGGGTTCTCCTCTTTCAAAGCAACAGAGAGGGGAGAGCCGGAGATCAAAAGAGCCTCCTCGATGAACCGATAAAGGTTCAAGTCATCCTCATACAGTGGCATGAGGGAGCGGAGAACAACAAAAGAACATCATATCGCTGTAAGAGCTCTTTGGGGCTAGCTCCAAAAACTCCTTAACAGCGCCCTCAGGTGGTCACTGACAGTCATGACAATTAGATTCTATTTAATAGATACTAGTATCTAATGAATGAATACTACTGTCTAATAAAAATAACTTGTGTTTAGTCAGTAAGTACTAGTATATTTTAAAAAAGCACTAGTATCTAAAGATTAGGTATTAGTATCTAACGAATAAGCACTAGTATCTAATAAATATGTACTAGTACTTAATAGAAAAGACACTAGTATCTAAAAAAAATTGTTCTAGTAATATGAAAATAGATACTAGTACAGGCTATAGATAAAATTTCAAAACGGCTTGCCATAAGTCAAGCATGCTGGAAAGAGTTATTATTTGTTCCCTGGAAACAAAAGTAAACACTGAAATAAGGTTTTGATAAAAAATGAAGAAAAAGATCTAGTCAAACGTAGTTTCATTTTTAGAGGTTTGGCAAATGTGCAGATTTCTTATGTATAAATTAACCACAAAATGTTATAGGCATTACTCATTTCTGTTGTTTTGTTTATAGGTTTTCACAGAGACTGCACCTTTATTTGAATAAGTACCTGCTTCCACCCAGGTGTATTAACTTTGCAATTCACAAAAATAATCTGTCATTGCAGTATTTGTGTTGATAGCATAAGTTAAACCAAACATTGTCATCATGACTTGTTTTTTGTTTTGTTTTACTCACTCAATTTGTCAGTCATCCATGACAGCACAATACAACACAGCACTGAGTGTGGGCAGTAAGGGCGTGGAATTCAATGGCTTTATATAAAGCACAGGTAGGGGCAGATCAGTTCACAGAGGCAGCAGTCTTCAAACATGGCAGCAGTTAAAGCATGCAAAATCCTGATCACAGGAGCCAACCGGGGCTTGGGCTTAGAAATGGTGAAGCAGCTTTCTGAGAATTCTTGTCCAAAGCATATTTTTGCTACATGCCGTGACCCAGATGGGCCAAAATCTGCGGTGAGTAATAAATATGAATAGAAAATACTTGAAATGTGAGAAATGTGCCTTGTTTAATTATGCATATTCTTTCTTAAGGCACTAAGAGAGCTGGCGAAAAAGCATCCCAATTTGATTACAATCATCCGTCTTGGTAAATGTGCATGGGTCCCTTTTGACGCATTTTAAATTTTCATGAAAATAGCTTTTAAGATTTACCATTTCACTGTGTGATACTTCAACACTTTCACTTGTTCTGTTACTACTAGATGCTGATGATCCATGCAGTATCAAGGAGTCTGCCAAAAAAGTGGGTTCTTTAGTGGGAGCAAATGGTTTGAACCTACTTGTAAATAACGCTGCAATCGTGGCAAATGGCACCATTCAGACCAGCAGTGTTGAGGACCTGAAAAACACCTTCAACACCAATGTGATAGGACCCTTATTGATTATTAGGGTAATGTAAAAACCATTATTATGTTCTCTGAAACAACATTTTTAGCACTGAAAGATATGCTGATCTGATTTGCAGGATACAGTGATCTGTTTTCTAAAATTGCAGGGGTCACCAATCTCGGTCCTGGAGGGCCGGTGTCCCTGAAGGGTTTAGCTCCAACTTGCCTCAACACACCTGCCTGGGTGTTTCAAGTATACCTATTTAGACCTTGATTAGCTTGTTCAGGAATGTTTGATTAGGGTTGGAGCTAAAATCTGCAGGACACCAGCCCTCCAGGAACAAGCTTGGTGACCCCTGTTCTATAGGCTTTCATTGTTGTGTCATAAATAAAAAGTCGATTAAAATGAGTACTTACTATTGGGAAAGATCTAGTCACTGCAGTGTCAGTGTTAGAAAAGTTCATGGCCTAAAACCAAAGTAAACAGTTGACAATGAGCAAGCCCTAGCTGGCCACTGCTGCACCCCTACTGAAGAGAGCTACCACTGTGTTGCTCCAACGCAATCTCACAGCAATTCGTAACTTTAGTGGCTAATTAATATAAACTCGTACAAGCCAATTTGTACAATTTAATACGATTTGCTCATCACCCAAAATCATTGTTAAAACATTTCATGTGACTTCAGTGGTTCAACTGTAGTTATATGAAGCTCAAAAAACTCTTTGTTTATTTAATCTAAAGACTCGTTTCCACTGACTGGTACAGTACATTTTTTTTTTCGGGTCGGTACGGGTCACCTTTAGCAGGTTTGCATTTCCACTACCAAGGGTACCCTTTTGGTGGGCGTGGTGTATGACAGAAAGTTTCAGTCGCTGTAATTTTCGCTCGAGAAAATGTCTACAGTAAAGCTGTAGGGTCGTTTACAAATTATATAAGAAACACTTCTCACAAAACAGATGCTTTATACGCATAAATCCTTGTTTATAAATGTTTATTACTAACTTTTATATGAAAAGGATTTGATTATAACTGCAGATCAATGACAGTGCAAAATAGCCTACTGTAATGTCTGTAATTATATTAAATAAATAAATAAATGCAACATATATGAACACATACAGCCCCTTACAGTCTCCAATATGTTACTAACTACAGAAGAACTACACACAGCATACATTGAGTGCTTATTAAGGTTCAAAAACAACACAAATTATAGCTTACAGTCAGTAAAATCTGTAATCTTCAGCAGCACATGTAGCCTCTGTTAGAGAGTCATTCGATCATTCTGAGTTCATAATAGTCCAAAAGGAGATGATAATAGTTAAACATTGCAGTTTGTTCACAATTGCTGAAAAAATAATTTGCTCCTTTTGGCTTCTCCTTTGTTTTTGTTTTTTTGCACTTCACTCTCGCGTTTGTCAGTTTCTGACAGGATCGAGTTTCAAAAGCATGTCATTATTCAAGCGCACGTCATTATCATCACCTCACGAAGTTTGTTATTTGACATATAGACGCGCGGCGAGCGCAAGAAAGAAAATGATACCACTCGCGCTTCAGACTGGCTTGTAAAAAAAACTAAGGGGCACAGGGTAAATCTGCTCTTCTTTTTGGCATTTTGGCTGTAAATCAAGACGACGACAAGGTTTGTTTGAGCCCGGGTCAAACATGGCTCGTTATTATATGTATATATATTTACACTATAAAAGATCTCTCGGCTGTGTATTTTAAACATGGCTCTTTTGTTTTCATTCCGGCTTGTTGCGAAAGCGAGTGACATATCACTTTAAACCAATAGTGTTCAGCTGCGCGTCAAGCTCCGTCTTTTGGTACCCTTTCTCGTGTTTGGTACCCTATGAAAGGGTGCCGAAAAAGTGGTACAGTAAGATTCGGTTCGGTACACCTTTTGACAGTGGATACGGCCATAAAAGCGTACCAAACCAAACCGTACTGTACCTCCCAGTGGAAACGGGCCATAATGGCAATATGTACAGCCTGTGGTAAACGTGCACCCTGATGACCTGACAAGACAAACAAGATACAGGCGAAGAGGTGCATTTACAGTTATTTGTTACACACAAGTGTTCTTGGAGTGTTTTGTATGATTACAGTTAGATCACTGATGTCACAAGGAAGGTTTTTGCTTCCTTTTCTGAGCTCTGAATGTCTCGAGAGCATTGCTGTACATGGATGTAAGAGAGCCCACAGATTTCATCTAAAATATCTTGATTTGTTTTCAAAGATGGTCAACAAGGTCAATTAGAACAACATGAGGGCAAGTAATTAATAAAAGAATTTTATCTTTTGGGTAAACGATTTCTGTAATTTGTAATACTATCCTCGTCCAGTATATGTCATTTATTTGTTCATGCTTTTATTCAGGAGTACAGACCATATCTACAAATAGCAGCCAAAGCCAGTGGGACACCAGGCATGTCCAGTAAAAAAGCAGCGATCATCAATATCTCCACCGTGGCGGCTTCCATGACCAGAATGCCTCCCATATACAGCCACTTCCAAACCTTGCCATATGCTGTGTCTAAGGTACACTGAAGTCCTGCTTTGGCACTAGATGGCGCCTGGAGATTTGATAGCTTGAGCTGATGTGTATAATTGAAATGCTGTGTTTATCTTTCAGGCAGGATTTAACATGCTGACTGTTTTGGCTGCTGAGGAGGTAAAGACAGATGAGATCCTCTGCATGGCGCTTCATCCAGGATGGGTGAAGACTGATCTGGGTGGACAAGATGTGAGTGTTGATTCCTTGAGTATTCCTTGGCATTAACACTGTTTGGGTTAATTGCATTTAAGATGACTTGTTTTTATTTTCATCAGGCGACACTTGAACCAAATGAAAGTGTGGAGGGGATGCTGAAAGTCATCGGTGGTCTTACTGAGAAGCAGCATGGTGGATTTCTGGACTACACTGGAGCAACTGTGACCTGGTAAACCAGAAGAAGAAGAAAAAAAAAGATCCCATATGAGAGGTCATAAAATGGCTTATCCAGGTCCAAACTGCAATGTTTTATCTGTTTACCATTAAAGGCACATCTAATTATAAGTGTGTAATTTCAGGACACAAATGTTTATGACATATTTTCTACAATAAATCACTCTGACTAATAAAACAGCACTGTCTCCTTTTCTATTTATCTGCTTCTGTTACTGTGCTTATCAGGACCGCACATTATCAAATCAGGCAGTGAAGTTAGTTAACTATAGTGCAGCAAGTGTAACAGGTATGACAGGTAAAACCTACACGTTAAAATCAGATAGGCAAAACAAAACAAAAAAGAGGTAAAAAGGTCAGAGTTAAGACAAGGGACACAGATTAATAAAACCAATTCTATCTCCCAACAATTCATAATATTTTGATTCAGAAGATAAATCATATGAAATTGTAGGATCTATTACAAACAATTTAGTACAATTTGCTCATACCCCAATGACAGATGGGTTAAGAGGTGGCATGCCTCCTTTAAAAAAAATGTGCAGTTTCGTATCATGAGATCTTTAGTTTTATGAATGAATTTGTATAGATTAGCTACTTTTCTGACAATACGCCCGATTGTTAAGTTTTTTTCATGAGATTGCTTTAGATAAGATATGAAACTAAATAGATTGACATTGTTTGACATGGTGCTGTTGCATAGCTGAAAAAAAATTATATGATTTATATAATGTGAAGGGAATTAGTTGCCACTCGTTAAAATAAATGAAGATTAGCCCCCCTATTTATTTTTTTCCCCAATTTCTGTTTAGCAGAAAGATTTTTTTCAACACATTTCTAAACATAATAGTTTTAACAACTCATTTCTAATAACTGATTTATTTTATCTTTGCCATGATGACAGTCAAAAATATTTTACTAGATTTTTTCAAGACACTTCTATACAGCTAAAGCTGCGGTCACACTGGGTTTTTATAGTAGACTTCCATTCATATGCACGCGAATGCGTCAGGCCGGAAAAGCAGGGTCATGTGTCAGGTTTTGCAGGTTGCTGCGGTGCAAAGCTTGGTGAACTCTGACCTGCGAAATCACATTACTTGACTGCGTGAGACCAATCGAGGATTAAAACACGACATCTCTGGTCAGAAATTTAAAACATGGAGCATTAGCTCGGTTTTAAAAATGTCTAATAAACTTGTTTAATCCCACCCCTTTTCACATTTTCAAACTCTAGTGTGACCGCAGCTTAAGACCAATCGATGATCAAAACATGACCTCTCTGGACAGAAATTTAAAACTTGGACCAATCGCTCGCTCATTTAATCAGCATGTTTAATCCTGCCTACTTTCTCAACACCATATGACAGAATTTTGCATGCTCAAACTCTTGTGTGACCGCAGCTAAATGCTGCATTCACACCAGGCACAGCACCTGCAATAAATCGAGTTGCGCTTGATGCTTCAACTGCATCTTGTGTGAATGCAGCTGGAAGGTGCATTCAACTTGAACCGTGGCTGCAGTCGGTGATCAATGAGATTAGCCAAGCACAGGTGGGAGCAGAGTTGAAAAAGGAGCCGCCAAGCAAGACAGCCAGACACTTCGGGGCTTAAAGTTGCTGCAGTCATGACTTATCACATGGCGTGATCACTTATTTATTTATTTATTGCAATAACAACAAAAGATTTCCAGTACAAATAAAACAGAATAAAGTCTCTAAAACTATAGTTCATTTTAAACAATAGGGGAATTATAAATTAAATTTTAGTAGCCTATATAACAAACACATTAGAAATAAAGGGAAAATGAGAGGGCACATAAAAGGGAAATAAATATCCACAAATAGGGGTTATTTTGGATAATAAAAGCATCTTTAAAAAATCCAAAACGATTGAACTAAAGGACCAAAATAAATGAGCTACACAAATTCTCAGAAAGAGCAAGGTACATCAATGTCACTTTTAAAATTTCTGCATAAACAGCTAGAAAGGAAATAAAATATTTTACAATCATCTATTTTTATATTTAATAAAATATTTGTTTTACTTAATTTGTTTAGAAACCTTTATAGGGTGTCAGGATCATTGATGATATTTATTCTATTATTAATTAAATAAGTCTGTAAGACTTATTTGAGTTTATATATAGGTTATTTACTAAAATTATTTAAATCATTTACGGAGCTGAATACAGTAAAAAGTCTGTATAAAAAGGTTGAATAAACCTGTGCAAACAAGCTAGTCTTTTTGAACAAATTATTTAACAAAAGATGATTACTGCAGTAAAATATTTGTAATCTTTTAAAAGGCATGATGTGTACAAGATCGAGAGAGTATAAAAAAGTTAATTGTTTGTTTTGAAATTTGTGAGATGGAATTTGTCCAATTATAAACCCGAAAATCAATGTGGTTATTTTCCTGCATTGAATCCAGCCAATCGTGTAATATCAGTGCCATCATCGCAGCTCCAGCAGTCGCTCTTCAGATGCTGCGCTGGCTGAATCAGTCGTCTGATCTTGGAGCGCTGTCGCTGTATTTTGATGCCACATGTGACTTGTCATGTGGCATCAAAATACTTGACTCGAAGTTCAAGTCTGGCAAAGAACGTTTCCAGAAAGCAGGTAAATAAAATAAACAAGTAAATAACCAGACGAGAATGTGGTAAAATCTGAAAACTGGGTTAAAATCAGGCTAGGGCTTTTCTCTTTTTTTTTTTTTAAATTGTAGGTTGAGTTTAGGGAAGTCGGTGGGCAGGACCATCGCTGCTTTTGAAAATACTTTTGGTTGGGTTTAGGGAAGGAGGAGGGTGGGTCATCGATCAGTCAGTCAGTCAAACAATCAGTCGACTCAGATTTACGCAAGAAGTTTAAGAGAAATTTAAGGTCTCAAAAAGCATACACACGTTCCTCTGATGGATTCGCAAAAACAAAAACTGAAAAAACCTAGCTCCTGGGGTGTATTTGGCACATTCCAGAAATCTATATAGAGGTACAATTTCAGAATGAGCCTGGGTTGGTTCATGTATTTTGAGAGCTGTCTATGAATTAACATACATAAACACAGCAGATCTAATCTCTCCACTCAAGCAATATAATCATGATAAATGGTGAAATACATGTTCTTATACATATTTGAAAATCCGAATAACAGATATTTGACAATTTAATTAGTACTGGTCAATACTTGCAAAAAAAGGGGGACATGACAAACTAATGAAATATTTTAATGGAACGTGTTCTAAATAAGGATCTCACTATTCTAGTCATTGTTCGTGCAGAGCGCCGTCTCGGTCACGCCCAGGCAGCACCTTGGTCTTGTTGGTTTCGGATGGTGCTGGGATAAAACATGTCCATCTGCGTTGCATGTGTGAGCCCTTTGTAAATGTCTTCATTTATCATTTGTTTGTGTCTTGCGTTCTGTTGTGTTGGTGTCATGTTTGCATGGTAGCCAAGTGCTTTAGGGCCTACTCACACTATGCCATCCGTACCGTGCCCAGGCCCATTTCCCGGATCGTTTGAGAAGTGTGAGCGTGCTGAATCGGGCTCAAGCATGGTTCACTTGGCCGGCCCTGGCCCAGTTGGAAGAGGTGTGCCTGAGCCCGGTTCACTTGGGCTTTGGCGCGGTACGCTTGTGTGTGAGTGCAAAATGCGCCAAAGCCCGAGACGTGACTTTTAAGGCACTGTTTCATATGGATTTATTAATCATTCTTACTGTTCAGTGAACGCAAACTACCGTAGTTTATTAAAGACGCAAACCCCTCACTGCATGACAGCTGCGCACCTTCAGCAGACCTCCTCATTCCTGCAGCACGAGAGCTTTATAATTGTTTATGAGTGCCAAAAGTGGCGGATCTGTTCGGCAAATATCTGACTGCGTGTCCCCGCATCTCTAAGGACTGTTTGGCGAAATATTTGACGGCATATCAAACGACTGAAACGATATAACTAGAGAAATCTCCACTGTGCTGCTGAGTGAGAGAGTGCTTCTCACTGAACAGTGCAGCAGCGATGACGTAAGCGTGCCAAAGCCTGTTTGTGGTGTGAGCGCGGGCCGTCGGGGGAGATGGGAGGGGGGACAAGCATGCTTTGGCCCGGTTCGAGGCAACTGTACCTAGTGTGAGTACGGACTTAGTGTCTAGTTTCATGTGAGTATGCGGTCAATGAGTAATCTTATTGGCTGCGTGCTCTAGTCCTGTTTGAATGCGAGCACATAGCTTGTGTTGTGGTGTTTGTACCATGTGCTCTTTTGTCTATCATCCACCTTGTAATCCTATTTTCAATCATTATGTTCACCTGTCTGCTTGTCTGTCCATTGGTTTGTCTTTCTTATTTATGCCGCAGTCACATTAGAGTTTAAGCTTGCGAAATTCTGTTGTACCAAAAGTGGTGGTATTAAACAAGATGATTAGACATTTAAAGAAGCAAGCGATTGGTCCATATTTAAAATTTCTGTCCAGAGAGGTCATGTTTTGATGCTCGATTGGTCTTACGCAGTCAAGTGATGCGATTTTGCAGGTCAGAGTTAACCAAGCTTGACCTTTGCAACGCAGTGAACTGTGGAACTTGACAGTTTCCGGTGGCATTTCCGGGCGTATGAATGGAAGTCTATGGGGAGAAAAGTCCAGTGTGACCGCAGCTTTATTCTCCTAGTGTGTTTTTTCATGTGCTGGTCAGTCACCATTGATACAGATCTCTATTATTGAGGTTATTAATGTCTTGCCCAATCCTGTCAAGTCTAGTATAGTGTGCATTAACGCAATGTTTTTCCCCCATGGGAATGTTTAAGTTGTTTAGTTTACTTTTTGTTAAATAAAGTCCTTTATTTCCTGCAATTGGGTCCTCGCCTCATTTCCTCTAACCCCTTACCCTGACAACCCATGCAATTATATGTGAAAACCCAATCCATATATTTTGTAAAAAAAAAAACAATGATGTCATTATCCCACATCTTGACCCTAGTCAGAAACTAGTACATCACATAAAAGAGACAATATAGCAGGCTACACGCTTGCA